AAGCCTCAACACACAAATCCATGATAATTCACATTCGTAAATCCAGATAATTTCAATTATGCAAATCCGAAGATTCATAACCTTTAATAAAATGTCAATTCGATAAATCATTAATATTTCCTTAAAAGCAATTTAAATAATTCATAAATTCTCCTCAAAACATAATTATAGAAATCTGTAAAAACATAATATAAAACATACTCAAATCATGAAATATGAAATGCATGCAAACCTAATATTTTATAAAAACGTGCAATTAAGAAGGGGTCTACTCATAAGTATTCCACTACCAGAGAGCCGCTCGAACTAGAGAGGATTGGATCACTTCCAACCGATGCACCTAAACACAAATGAAGACAATTTAATGAAACTTTACTAAAACGATGGAATTTAGAAAAATGGATAGCGGATTCAGATTCGGCACGCCACGCGCTGAGTTGAGTCGACGGAAACCTCGCTAGCGCCTTTGTCAACGACGATGGAGGTGCATGTGCTCCACGCGCCAGCTCAGGAAACTGGAATTGGGTCCAGTTCTAGTCGAATCAGGGTTGGGTTTGGGCTTGGATAGCTGGATTAGGCTGGGTGTAGGATTTGGCCTGGGATATTGGGTTTGGATCCGGTTTAGGGCTAATGAATTAGGCTTGGTACGGGTTTGGGCTTGGGTTACATAGGCCCAAGGTTTAGGCGGGTTTTGAATCGGATCGTAGGGTCACGGGTTGGGTCACGAGCGAAAGGGAAGGCCGGAATTTGTGAGTTTTGGCCAAGAAACTTCCTCGGCTCTGTTTTGGGGTCAAAACTTAACCAAAACTCGCCATTCAAAAACAAAATGAAGCTATGAGATTGAGGATTCGAGTCATACCAAGATGAGGTCGAGTCGAGGTTAGGATCGACTAGAAAATGGCCTGCAACCCACAATCATTCGAGGAAAAAAACTGGGAGAATGGTTTCCGAGTTGGTTTTTGCATCAAATGTCACAAAAATGTTGCAAAAACTACCTAAACACGATCTACAAAGATTTAGAGTTGTTATCAAGCTTACCTCGTCGGAAAATGGTGAGAACTTGCCTGATCAACTTTTTGCACAGGGAAGGTACTATGCAACGAGGAAGAGAGAGAAAAGTGAAGTTTCTTTTTGTTCTAGGTTCGTAGAACTCGTAGGGGAAAAAGTGATGGTGGTGTGGTGGTTGCCGGAGGGAGAAAGGCCAGTGTTGGTGGTCTCGGTAGTTGGTTCTCGGAGAGGGTTCGAGGTGAGGGTGAGAGAGACAAAGAGAGAGTGAAAATAAGAGACAATGAGAGTGTGAGAGTGCTCTAGAAAGAGGGTTCATGAGTGGGGGAATAAAATACCCCAAAAATGGGGTGGGGAAATGCCATTTGTCAGCCATGTAAAGGCCTAAAGTGGAGAAATATCTCCACTTGTGAAATTACCAAAAAATGCCCTTGACGTTCAAAAATTGTAGAAGCTTTGTTTTAGCTCCAAATTCGATTCCATTCACTCCAGCACGTTCGCATCGACAAGGGCTACAAAAATAAAATAAACGAAAACTTATAACATGTCAACGGCTCGTTACAGCTATCAAATTTGAAGACAACGTCAAAATTTTGTTTTGTTTTATTTTAATGTTTATTTTTTTTTATTTTTATTTTTTCACTTATTGATTATTTTATTATTGAGTTCTGACCCACTTGATTTTATAAATAACCAAAAAACATTATAATTTGACATCTCGGTTAGAATATAAAACTTTATAAAATGTTATTTTGTCCCATTAGTTGTAAAAACTAAATTTAACATCTATATTGGAGATGGTCCACATGTCATAGTTGAAACAATCTATTTTCCTAGTTACTAGAGGATGCTCAACATGCTTTTTCAGAGATATTGTGACATCCCACATCGCCCAGGGAAGTGATCCTTAAATGTATATTCCCATCTTTACTTAGCACGAGGCCTTTTGGGAGCTCACTGATTTCGGGTTCCATGAGAACTCCGAAGTTAAGCGAGTAGCGCACGAGAGCATTCCCAGGATGGGTGACCCATCGGGAAGTTCTCGTGTGAGTTCCCAAAAACAAAACCGTGAAGGCGTGGTCGGGTCCCAAAATGGACAATATCGTGCTACGGTGGTGGAGCGGGCCCGGGATGTGACAATTTGGTATCAGAGCCTATCCCTGGTCGGGTGTGTGCCGACGAGGACGTCGGGCCCCTAAGGGGGGTGGATTGTGACATCCCACATCGCCCAGGGAAGTGATCCTTAAATGTATATTCCCATCCTTACCTAGCACGAGGCCTTTTGGGAGCTCACTGACTTCGGGTTCCATGGGAACTCCGAAGTTAAGCGAGTAGCGCACGAGAGCATTCCCATGATGGGTGACCCATCGGGAAGTTCTCGTGTGAGTTCCTAGAAACAAAACCGTGAGGGCGTGGTCGGGGCCCAAAGCGGACAATATTGTGCTACGGTGGTGGAGCGGGCCTGGGTTGTGGTGGGGGCCCGGGTTGTGGTGGGGGCCCGGGTTGTGGTGGGGGCCCGGGTTGTGGTGGGGGCCCGGGTCGGGATGTGACAATTTTTATATTGTCACATCCCGCCCCGGGACGGATCACTTCCCAGGTCCGCTTCACCACCGTAGCACGATATTGTCCGCTTTGGGCTTACCATTCCCTCACGGTTTTGTTTTTGGGAACTCACGAGCAACTTCCCAGTGGGTCACCCATCATGGGATTGCTCTAGCCCCTTTCTCGCTTAACTTCGAAGTTCCTATGGAACCCGAAGCCAGTGAGCTCCCAAAAGGCCTCGTGCTAGGTAAGGATGGGAATATACATTTAAGGATCACTTCCCTGGGCGATGTGGGATGTCACAGATACTCTCATCATACCTTCGTCTTTAGTTTTTCTTTTGTGACACACTTAGTATGTGTGATTGTTGAGTCTCGTATATTAATAATTTGTTTGAAACCATGTTATAATATGAGCATTTATCTGAAAATCAAATGACGATATCCAACGTAAAATTCTCTCAACAAACACCAATGTTGTTACTTCATTGATTTAAAATCATGGGATTTTTTTATATTAAGAATCAAACGATCAAGATACGGATTCCTATATAAAATTTAGGGTAAATTACAAAAAATTACCTTAATTATTGGTCTAATTACAGTTTCATACCCTATCTTTAAAACATTTCAATATTATACCTTATATTTGAATTTGTTGCAATGTCATATCTTTCGTCAATTTGTTTGTCAATTCATCTGTTAAATGCGTGGCTTGAGGCAATACTCATTTTCTATTAAAAAATTAATTTAAAAAAAAACCTCTTTCGCTCTCCTTTCTTCCCAGATGCTGTTTCCTCCTCCATCACTCCCTCCTCTCTTCATACCATCCCATCCCAAACCCAATACTACTCTGACTTGCAGCAACTTTCTTCTTCCTCCCAATTCCCGACCCTAAACTCCGACCGCCGACGCCCAGCCTCGAAAAATTGCTCGAGCCCAGCGCCGACCCCTTGTCACCCCTAACCCCAAAAAGGCTCCCTGTGGCATCGGACCCGATCTCGTCTTGTTCTATTCAACCCCAGCGACGACGGCAGAATGGGAAACACCGAAGACGCCGGCTTCGACGCCCCCGATGCGGACGTAGACGACATCTTTGTAGTCCCGCCAGTCGAGCTCCCGGACTTCGCCGACGTCTTAAGCTGAACTCGCGGACTCTGCCTACTGAATCCCACACCCAAGGTGTGTGGGTTTGTCGGATCTTTGAATGGTGGCCCGGGAAGGTAGTGAGGTGAGGATGGGGAATTGGATGGAGAGAATAGGTGAAGGAGACGGGGGAGGGTGGGGATGTGGTATGATATTATATTTCTGAGTTTGGGATGCGATGGTATGAGAAGGAGGGAGTGATGGGATTTTTGGATGCGATGAACCAGGGTGAGGGAAGGAGACGGCATCTGGGAAGAAAGGAGAGAGAGAGAGGTTTTTTTCTTAATTAATTTTTAAATAGAAAGTGGGTTTTGTCTCAAATTACGCCAGCATTTAATATAGGAGTTGACAAATAAACTGACAAAATGTATGATATTGTAACAAATTCAAAAATAAGATACGATATTAAAATGTTTTAACTATGAGGTATAAAGCTATGATTAATCTAATAGTTGAGGTAGTTTTCTGTAACACACTTTAAAATTTACCTAAATTTTTGGGCTCGGATTCCTGACCCAGCCCAACACAGTGTATTGTACAAGTTAGTGGTGGTGGATCCAGCCCATGAACATCCCAGTAGCAAAAGAAGATCTCAAAAGCAAAAGCATGCAAGCTGTTAAATTTGGGTCAACCAAACCGTTAACACACCCAAAACCCCACTGCCTTTAAAATTTCGACTCCCCGAACAAGCAAGGAAACCCTTCCGCTTCACCCTGGGTCCCACAACCGAATCCAGCAATAGCCAAGTAACCACATCACCTCAACTCATCCTCTCCTAATTTTCTTTGTGTGTATTTATAAATCGTGTTTTTTTTATCGTACATCATACGTTCAGTTTTTATCAAGTATTTTATGTTTAATTTTAAATATTTTTTTTTCTTCTAATTACACAATATACGATAAACGGATACAATTTATAAATTCCAGAATTTTAGTAAGGAAGATTCGGCGAGAATCGGAATTCTCAACTCACCGCCAACGCAATGGACACGTCAGCACATGTCGACATTGGAACCTTTCTCTGAAGAGTGTTTGTGAACTCAACTCTCCTCAACGCTCGCTCTCTCGGTATAAAATCCCAACTCTCTTGGATGTTTCCTTCTCTGGCGGCTCTCCAAATTCTCCAACCCCTTCCCTCCTTCACTTTCTCTCTCTAACCAAACCCTAATTTTCTCACTCCTCCACTGTCTTCGAATAATCAGTCGCTGCTTTTTCTTTCTTTTTTTTTTTTGTCCTTTTTTCTTTTTCCTTTATTCTTTTGATTTTTTAATTTAGTAAATATCCCGATTGAGGTTGGAGAAGGAGATAATGGAGAGCTCTGTAGGAGAAGCAGCGAAGAAGCAGCAGGAGTTTGCTTTGGCATCCGCCTCCGAGCTCGCTTCGTTGTCGTCTTCTACTACTCTGGCACCGGCGGTGGCTCGGTTCAGTCCCGAAGACGGAGTTGCAGAGCTCCGGTTTCAGCAGGAGGCTGAGTCCGATGCCCGCCTCAATGTCGATCTCCAAACTGCTAAGGTTTGCCTTTTATTTGGAGTATGCTGTTTCAGTTTAGCCTTTTAAGTTGAGAAGTATTCAGCTTTGTTTGGTTGCCGAGAAAGTGAAGGAAAGTAAATATCTAGTTGATAACAGTTTACCCTGGCTTTACTGCTTTAAAATTTTAATTATACCTGATTTAGTCGGTAGTATAATATTTGATATAATGTTGTAACTAAGTTTGTTGTTTGATTTTGGTATGTGTTTTTTCGTTCGCAGCTATTCAAGTTAGGCCCGGTGCAGTCAGTTTGCATAACAGAAAGTTCTGATACCGATGAAGAGGTAACCGAAATAACTTTTCGCGTTTGCATTTTGATGATTTTACTTTGCAAACTTTTACAGTGCCAAATATGTATCGCAGTGGATTTTCACGTTGATTGTACTTTTTCGTGCAACATTGTTCGTTGTTTGTACCTTTGTGCGCAACATTGTTATAGGATTCATTCAATATCTGTCAGATGTTTGTTTCTTTTAACATTACTTCTTTTGAACCAGAAATCGTATTCAAGGGGAGTCACTATTCGTTTTAATAACGAGGAGGAGAGTGCAGCCTTCCATCATGCATTTGAGCAATGGAAGAAGGACCTTGTTGATCAAGGTTCTGTTCCAAAAGTTTACTTATGGATGTATTTCTTTTGTTTGTGGATGAATTGACCGAAGAAGTACTAGATGAATATCATTGCACATCTAGAACGTAGCTATTCTGTTGTGACATGATTATGTCTTATGATTTCTTCCATGCAAATACTCCTATACTTTGACTGTCTTGCTCCTTGTCGTGCGGCATTGCATACTTGTCAATTAATCCGTTTTTGTGCACTCTTGCAGGACAAAAGTTACCAAATGGAGAACTATCATCTACCAAAAGCAAGTTTGACGACAAAATAGAGCCATCTTCTGCTAAAATGTATTTCCATTACTATGGACAATTGCTACATCAACAGAACATGTTACAGGATTATGTTAGGACAGGTTAGTTGACTAACTATATTCTTGTTCATTTTCAACTTCACGTTTCTTTTGTTTTGGAGTTGAGACGTATTCTTGAGCTTCAGAATCCATTTGTAAATTTAGTATTTACACTAAATTTTATTAGTTTCACTAAAAATATCCAATGAGTTGATGATGAATATGTTAGTAAGTGCCCTGTTTTTCTTCTTCAGGAACCTATTATGCTGCTGTCATAGAAAATCGTGTGGATTTTAATGGTCGCGTGGTTGTTGATGTTGGTGCTGGTAGTGGTATTTTGTCATTATTTGCTGCACAGGTACACTCAGCTCTTTGATCAATTAAGTTTGTGTATAGTAATCTTGCATATTTTGTCTTGGCATACCTCTTCTTGATCTTCTATTTCTTTTCTTCCCAATATAGGCTGGTGCTAAACATGTTTATGCTGTGGAAGCATCTGAAATGGCAGATTATGCACGCAGGCTAATTGCAGGGAACCCTTCACTTGGTGAAAGGATAACTGTGAGACTTTTGATGTCATTTCTGAATGTTTTGTCCTTTTTTTCTTCATTCCTGTCCTCTAATGGGACCATATGTCAACATGTAGGTAATCAAAGGTAAAATTGAGGAGGTTGACTTGCCAGAGAAAGCAGATATCCTTATCTCAGAGCCAATGGGTAAGCCTCTATATATATTTGCTATAGACATTCAAATGGATGTTGCCCTGCTCTTCTTGATGTATCTGCTCCGCTGATAGTCTGAAACTAGTCCTAATGTAAACTTTTCTTTGTCATGGCTTTAGGCACTTTGTTAATTAATGAAAGAATGCTGGAAACCTATGTGATTGCAAGAGATCGGTTCCTTCAACCAAATGGGAAAATGTTCCCCACATTGGGAAGGTAATTTAACCTTTGAATTTCTTCTATGTTTTGTTTTCTGGTATCTCTTGTGTACGTTATTTTAGTTGTATCATGGGATACTCTTTGAAAATATCAACTCTGGGTAGGAAAAAAAAAAAGATGTCAGCGGTGGGATATTTACCCTTTTTTTAAGACAAGAAGTGGGTTCCCAGCAGTAAAATTATTTTAGTTCAGATCAGGATTAGTTAGGTAATGTTAGTTACTAGTCATGATAAAATATTCTATATCATATTACCTACATGTTGCCTGGTCACATTATTTTTCTCTTGGGTTGTTCAGTGATGCTATATTGCTATGTTAGATCTTTCATTTCATTTGCTTTTGGTCCTAGTGTATATTGATTACTATTAGTACCTATTCAAAATCATTATATCTGTTACTTTTGTTTTTCTCATCAATTCAAGTTGATTACTTCCGCAGGATTCACATGGCACCTTTCAGTGATGAATATTTGTTTGTTGAAATAGCAAATAAGGTGCGCATGTCGTCATCATTTTTCGTTAATTTATATAAGGAAGGACATTATGCATGGATAACCATTCAGAAACTTGTAACCTACAAGCCATGCACAATGCAGCTGATCTAAAAGTTCTATTAGATTGCTGTTGTAAACGTGTAGTGCAATCAGTTTCCTCTCTTATTTGATGTAGATTAATGTTCTTGTTTTGTAAATATACAGGCCCTCTTCTGGCAGCAACAAAATTATTATGGAGTTGATTTGCAACCATTGTATGAATCTGCATTCCAGGGATATTTTTCACAGGTCTATATATTTCTTACGCATAACTTAAAAGTATTGCAAAACTTGTACGTTATTCAATTTTGGGTTGAACAAAGCTTGTTGTCTGCAACTGATATTATTTGCCTACTTTGAGATATTGCTGTGTTTTGCAACCATTGTTTACATGTGTAGGTTAAATAAGAACTTGAGTAATTAAACTATTTTTTTTTTTTTTTTAACTTGTTAAATTGAATTTTAGTTTTAGGATTTCCTGGATTCTTCCTATTTCCTATTCCATGAAATTACGCTTGACGATAAACCTAATCAAACTTGATTTGTCACTCTGTGTGCGCTCTTCACTTTTCATGGTCTTGTGAAATAAGGGATAGCTACATACCCTCTGCCATCACAATTTAAGAATCTAATTCCCTTAGTCGATCAGTATGGTTTTATAAGAACCCAGCTACTTTTATTGACTTGCCTATGCCTTTGAGCTAAGGGTTTATGCATCTCTTAAATGAAACAACAAAAATAATTGGACATTTGCAACATCAATAACTTTCCAAGGCTTTTGCAAACCCCTCAGACCGAAATGGCTGAATTTCCTTGGTGAGGGATTATTTAAAACTTCCAGGATCCAAAATTATATCTGTGCAAGACATTTTATTGGTGGTTGTTTTGGGTTGCTAGGACTTGATGTGCTGAATTATTCTGTTTTATTCTCGAACAGCCTGTGGTAGATGCTTTTGATCCAAGATTACTGGTGGCTCCTTCAATGTCTCATGTGATTGACTTTACCAAAACAAGCGAAGAGGACTTGTATGAAATCGACATACCTTTACGGTTTACAGCTACTGTAGGCACTAGAGTGCATGGGTTAGCATGCTGGTTCGATGTCTTGTTTGATGGGAGGTAATCATCTGCATCAATGATCTTGTGGAATGAATATAATCTTCTGCATTTCATCTTATAACTGCTTTCACATTGCTTGTTTACAGTACCGTACAAAGGTGGCTTACCACCGTGCCTGGTGCACCAACAACCCATTGGTACCAATTACGCTGCGTTCTCTCTCAGCCAATTTATGTGATGGCAGGACAAGAAATCACTGGCCGACTCCACATGGTTGCCCACAATTCTCAGAGTTACACAATATATCTCACTTTGGCAGGTCAGTGTCTAATATAATACTTGTTTTGGCTTCAGATTTCTTTTTCCGGCTTTCTAACGAGTTATGGCCTCACCTTCAGCTAAAATGTGGGGCCCTGGGGCTGAGCTAGGAGGTATAATTCAGCAGTCTTCTTGTAAACTTGATCTCAAAGAGCCCTACTATAGAATGTCGCAACCGCAAGCCTACACAATTGCCCAAGATCAGCAACCACATCAGCAAATACAGACACAGGTGAGGGCTATCACCGTCAACTGGACCCTATCCTTCTGAATATTTGAATTATTGTATTTCGGTTCAAAGCATAATGATTAATTAAATCACTACCGTCTTCTAGGAGCAACAAAAAAAAAAATGTAGATATACCGGGTTTTGTCCTGCAATCGTTTACTAGAAAAATGCCGTTTTTCTAGCTGTTGAGTATATACTAACTTGGTTTGTGTTCTTACATTATACCCATTCACTCCCAGGATTTGGACGATTCTGAATTTATTCCACAACCACCCTCACCGACTTCAGGCTCAAAGATCTTACTGGAAGAATTTGCCAAATCCGCGGGGGCTTTGAAGAACATTTGATCTCTGTTTGTTTTGTAACATAAACTGTTTTACTCTAGCAAGTGCTAGGGTTCCCTGTTAGTCGTCCACCACTTCCCGTTTAACTGGTCTCTCACTTCCTCCATGTCCTAGGGTTTAACCCCTGTAAATTAGATATTCATTTGAGTGGCTTGTGCAGCATATTTATGCAATTTTATCTTGATTTCACCAGCTTATCAATAAGACACCGTTGTGAGTGTACCCAAATGTCTTACGTTTTAAGAACTGATTTGGGGGCTCGGACCACCTGTGATAAGCCTTGTTCCTCTGTCCATTAGGGTTGCTTCCCTGAACGTTGGTCAACGTTAGGTCATCAACTGATAGGCATTTTTACCCTGTAGGGTTTAGGGTTGCTACATGGCCAACCGGTTGTCTGGCATTGATGATCCATGGAAAGTACTGTCTTCAGTTTTCCAATAGGGTTGACTCCCTGAATGTTATGCAATGTTAGGTTGATAGACATTTCGATGTCCTTTTGCATGACACAGTAAAACAAAGAATTCATGGTATGTTCCACTGTTGGTTCTTCGAGAAATTAACGGTTAGATTTTGCATATAGAGATCTGATGGATCATTGCTCCCGTCAAATCTCGCATGGAACGTACCTTTCTAGTTGGACTCCATGTCCAACACTTGGTTTATTGTATTGGTTGAAATATTCGTCGAAATCTTCAATTGGTGCTCTGTACAAATGCAGCTCTAAGCAATATGCTGTACAAAAGCCACCAGTCTGCTCAACCCAGAAAGAAATTCGAGCAGATGTCGAACCAACGGAATCTCGACTGACCGCAGCCGCGGCTGGAGATGGAGATTGTTGAATATTAACCACATTATAGCAGCGGCTGGAAAGGAACTAACTTGAGATGGTGATCTTTTGCAAAGAAATATACTGTTTATTTTTAGACAAGACAACCATCTTATGACATTACTGGGTGCGTCCCACATTCAGTCTTACGTGCACTGATAAAATTCGTATATAAAACTGAAGCTTGTAATGGCCAGGGAGACCACATATTTACACTATATTCTCGAAATATCTAATGTGGCAAGTGATGTGTATAGTCGACATCCAGTCAGAATTTTTTTTTTAATTGACGTGGCATATATATACACTTCATTTATCATGGTAGATGATACACAAAATTGGTATAAAAATATGGTCCTTCTAGCCTTCTCCTTCTCAAAAGAGTAAATGTTACGATCATTTTACTGTAATTTAATTCTTGAAAGCGTGAAATAACAAAAATGTCCCTAGAACTTCAGTTGACCTTTAAGATTGTGACACGTATGACCTAGTATTTTAGAATGCTAATTAACCAGTCACCTAGTTTGACCCAACTTAGATTGGGGTTAAAAAAACCCAATCCCAGTCCTTGTCCGGTTAAACTCTCAGTTTTCTAACAAGTTATGGCCTCACCTTCAGTTAAAATAATACTTGTTAGGGTTGACTCCCTGAATGTTATGCAAAGCTAGGTTGACACACATTTCCATGTCCTTTTTGCTTTACACAGTAAGACGGAGGATGCGGTGCATAGTTTCCAAATTTGCTACTGATTGGTCCGAAAAATCAACTGTTAGATCCTGCATTAACGTACCATTATAGTTGGACCTTGTAGTTTCCTAAAAAAAAGTAGGGAATTTTCCGTACAACACTTGGATTATTGTATTGCTTGAAATATTCGTCAAAATCTTCAATGATGCTCTGTAGTCTGTACAAATGCAGCTCTAAGCAATATGCACTACACTTGTCTGCTCAACCCAGAAAGGAAGGGAATCGGAGCAAATGTCGAACTGACGGAATCTCAACTGACCACAGCTACGGCCGGAGATGGAGAGTGTTGAACATTTACCACATTATAGCAGCGGCCGCAAAGCGTGCTGTGCTCTGGAAAGGAACCAACTTGAGGTGAATAATTCCAGCATCTTTCGCACTTTAGGCCCTCGGCACGAGCCACTCCAATCCAGACTTTGACGTTTTCTCCGATGAGGTATTCTCCTTTGTGAGGTATGTTCGCAATCAGCTCATCTTCCAACGAAGGAAGAACCTCTGCCTGCATTCATATAGACAAATGTAAATAGTGATCAGAGGGCGGATCATGTCTGTTTAGCCACCAGGTGAACCAGTGGTTAGGAATTGAACTTACCTGAGATGTTATGAATATGCGATGCAGTGTGTCTGCGTCGTTGTTGGCCGCAGACATTTCACCTAATCTAGAGGCCAGACCGGAATCGTAAGTGTGGAGGTAGACCTTGGCATCTAAACTAGAGCCAATTAGCTTTTCCGTACGAGCAACCTCCAGGACTTTGTTCACCTCAGTTCTCAACTGCTCACAAGTGCATACGCATTAGAAACAAGTGAAATACATCAGAGACGGATATCAACCGTGGCATTTCTTTCATTGTTCTAAGACCACTTCTAACATTATAATCTAGATTTATCTGATTATTTTACAGGTGAATAAACCATTGTCAGGAAAAGAAAGTAAACAAGAACGAAACGTCAAAGCCAGACAACCAAAAGCATCAAGTTTATGATATCGTTAATTTTGGCTTAGAGAGGAACAATGATGATGAGATTCAAGAGCATCAAGTTTATGATATCGTTAATTTTTTCACTGACAACCAATAAGAAAGGAGTTTAAATTTTCCAAGAAGGTTTTCCCTTAAACAACTCAGTTGTAATATGGCACAAGGACATGGACTGCACAAACCCCAAATTGTACTAATGTGTGAAGAACATTAAACAAAATGGTGATTACCTCAAGAATTTTTTCCCAGAAATTAGTTTCCTCTTTCGAAAGAGAGAGCCATGTGTTGTTCAAAGCTGGCCATCTTGATTCAAAAACAAATTCGGCAGCAGAGCCATCTTCGTCAGTGTACTGGAACGGAAGGTTTTGCCATACATCTTCAGCCAAATGAGGTAATATCGGGGCAATCACTCTCACTACAGATAGGAGAAGCGCTGCAAGAACTGTTTGACAACTTCTCCTAGTAAAACTTCTTGTGCCCCTGAAATGATAAACCATGCTTCATCACTAATTCTAGAAAATGAAGACTTGTAATGTAAAAGCATATAAACATCATGAGGCTGACAGACCAATGGAGGGCACAAAAGTAATGCAGGTGCTTAGAAACTGGTAGATTGAGCAGGAGATGAATTACCCAACATAAAGGCGATCTTTGGCGACATCAAAATAGAAGTTTGACAGGTCAACGACAACAAACCGCTGTATGATCTGAGAATATGAAGAAAGCTAATTAGATAGTTGCATGGAATTCCAGCTAAATTAAGGGGGCTAAGTTGACATACAATCAGGATTCAGTAGCAACTGTAAGATAATCCAAAATGCTGTCATCTAATTGAGCATAAAACAATACACTTTAAACAGAAACATAACTTAATCAAATCAACAGGGTTAAGAGAAAGTTCACCTGAAATATCTTAAAGAACTGATAGTTTTCATAGCACTCTTTACTGTTCTTCACAAAATTTTCAAGCTGAAACAGTGCGTACTGATCAATCATGGGAAGATCGTGGTATGAGATAGCACTATCAGCCTGCCAACATGATGTAGTTATATATAAGTGAAAACAACAGACCAAGAGATAAAACTGCCTGAAACAGAGCATAAACTTATAAAAAGAAGCAATAAACAGGTTTTATACATAAGTTGTGTGCATGTGCACCAATCTGTGTATTCGGGGTCAGGAGAGAGTAAAAATATTTATCCAGCAAGCGGTAGTAAAGATGGGAGTCTTAAGATGACTAAACATGTAGAATTTTTTATAGGGTGAGACGTCTGAATTCCAAAGCACTGATTGTGAATGTTGAACATACATTCCAATCATGAAGATTTCCCAAAAGGTATCTCAATGTTCCCCGCGTCTTCCTATAAATGTCTGACATTTGACGGAGAATTTGAGGGCCGATTGTTACATCGCCTGTATAATCTACACTAGAAACCCAGAGACGCAGGACATCTGCTCCATAGCCATCCTGCCAGCAGGGAAACAAGAGTTTAGTATCCAGATACTGTTGAAGGATGGGTTCAGGTGGTAATTAGTAGGTTTAAATTTACCTTAAAACAATCACTTACCTTTTGGTTCTTCCCTCCTTCAATCACAGTCCGTGGATCTACTACATTACCCAAAGATTTGCTCATTTTCAAACCTTTGTCATCCAATACAAATCCATGTGTTATAACACTGGAATATGGAGCCTTTCCTGTATTGAAGAAAAATAATAGATTCATGTAGTCACTGTTTGAAATAAATACTTCTCTGTAAAATGAAATCATCCTCCGTGGCTTAAAATCCATACAGAAGAATGAACAACTGGACATAAACAAGTATATACTAGCATTGCTGAAACTATTTAAATTACATACCATTTCCCTCAACGTTCGACTACTATAGTTAGAGACTAGAGTACATTGTAGTCGCTACAACGCGGCAGTCAAGATATTTAATTCGAAGGATCTTACCCAGCAACCAATCTAAGTCTGGTTTGCATTCACAATGTACTATTTTTATTCAGCTCAGCTATGACGCCAATACTCAAAGTCAAGGGTAAGAAGATAATGCAATGGAAGGATTAACGCAGCCATTTTAAACATATTCATCCTACATAGATCTTGGACACAAAAAAAATGCACATGTTATTTACAACATGTGATTCTTTTTTTCTGTCAAAAGACTCAACTAACTGCGAACAGTACAAATTACAAACCCCATCAGGTATGAGTGAAGGGAACCACATGATGTTTAATTGTCTTAAATAAAGAACAAGACCTCCGGTGAAAATGTGTGTGTGAAACCTCCCCAAAATTAATCACAATTCAAACATGAGGAGTAATGCACAAATGTGCTATTTACACAGAATAAAAATAAAAAAGATACAAATCAACCTCTCTTTTTTTTATTGATTATTATTAAGAAAAACTTATTTAATGTTATATTGCATAGTGAAGATAAATGAACATGACCAGATTCTCGTTACCTTTAGTAGCAACACTTGTTAGCAAAGAACTCTGGAACCACCCACGATGCTGATCCATACCTTCAAGGTACAAATCTGCAGGAAGACTATGGCTATTTCTTTTCCCCAACACTGCAGCCCAAGAAGAGCCTGAAATAGAACTTAACAATTTACTTAAATCCATGTAAAGAAACATAAAAGATTAAATTACAGAACTGAAAAAGTTAGATGCAGTTATGTACATGCATCCAAAGTAGTAAACACCAATTAATCCCAATAGATAATATGGTAAGCGAAAAGACAAAATTCAATTATGCTCTGGAATATTTGACTGAGAAAAATTATGTTCTGGAATAGGCAAGGCAACTATACAACAGAACCAACAACGAACCACTATATGTTTCAACCAAACAAGTGAAGTTGCATATTTCAATATGATAAAAATGACCATGAAGATACAAATGGATTGAGATGCAAAATGAGATATTTCCAGACTACCCTTCTGTAAGGGAAAAAAAAAAATCATCAATGATGAAATTATCTATCTATATTCATGCCATTACCAAGTAATAGAGAATATTCCTATATAGCAGCACAAGGTAGAGCTGACAAGGTTAAATAAAAGCTACATCAATACCTGAATCAAACCATACGTCCATTGTATCAGTCCCCTTTTCATATTCAGATGCTTTATCACGATATTTATCGGGGAGAAGATCCTCCACCTTCATGTACCACCACGCATCACTACCCTTTTCGGATATTATCGCTGCAAAAACAGAGGACTGAAAGAATCAAAATTTAATCTATTAAATACACCATTCATCTTTAAAATAATTAAAATTAGGCTAATCATTTGAGCAGTCTCTGTACATATGGATATTCATTCATTGATCTATATAGCTATCTTCTTATATGTACAAAAAGCACACAAATACACACCTGTGTGTGCACAGACAGACACCGTGCATTAGAAAGAGTGAGAAAACCCTCATCTCATATGCAGTTGGAAATATTCCCAACTGATGCTCAAAATTAAAGCAAATATTAATTTATATAAGATCTTAATTAGACACTAATATT